ATATTTTATTGGATCCTAAAATTTGCACAATAAGGACATTTGCGTCGGTTTTTCCCTCATCTTTTGCAACTGCACCCCTGCTTTAAGTGTGTCACTTCCTCCCTTCAGTGTGAGTAAGGATGTCTGCCAGTAAGTTTATCCCCATTTTACAGGTAGCTGGGTTTTCTTGGGTTCCTCAGATAATTTCCACTTTTAAAAGGTGTTCCTATGAGTGAAACCCTCTGCTTACCATCAATAGTTTCAAGTGACATGAGAAAACAAAAACAAAACATTATCTTGAATGACAATCAGTATATGTGTATTTACTCATATTTGCATCTATGGATAATGAATGAGATTATTATCTTTTTTTATATAAAGAAGAGGGGTACTGGCACGGTATGTTACTGTATAGTGAAGATACCTAGACCTCAATACCGCTAACAATAAGTGTGGCTAAGTTCTATTCCTTAAGCAAGTCACAACCAACTTTTGCATTGGTTTCAGTGAGTTTTAGTGAATAGCCTTAATTTCTGTAGGTTTAAAAAATATTCTGTATATACAATGCTATTTGAAAAACAAATCTGTAAATGAAAAAGTTTTTATGGCCTTCAGCAAAAAGAGGGAAGGAAACAAAAGATTCTCCTGTGCCAGTATCGAACATCTAAACCCTTTAACTGTGCAGCAATACATAATGTGTGGTCTTTAAGCAGTGAAAAAAAATGGTTGCAGTGTTGGACTGGACACAGGAACTATGGGGCCTAGCACCCACTCATCCATGAAGCTCACTGGGTAACTTTGGGCCAGTTTCTGTCTCCAGATCAAAGTGACCTGACAGGTTGTTGTGAGGACATAACAGAGAAGATGAGGAGAAGAATCAGGTATGTCAGCTGGGACCTTGAGGGTAAGTCAGGAAATAAATACAGCCAGTAAAGTATTAAGACTCACAAAAGGTGTATATAAAATCCAAGAATTAATCAAAAGCATTCATTGTTTACATATGATTTCCATTTGATTCAAAATTTGTAGTGGTGGAATCAAGTTCAGTTCCAGGCAATGTGTTAAGTTCCCCAAGGTCCCCATGAGAAGGAACAAAATGCTGGAAACCCACCAGGTATTCACAATCCATTTTCTCTGCATTGCTTCCAACCAGGAAGAGATCCACCTGCTGGATTGCTTAGTTTTAAGTTGCTAGCAAAACCATAGATTTCAGCCGAGGAGCATTCACTTGTTTGACTCTGTTCAGGAAAGTCCATTTTGATTAAGGGTGCTTTCAGATGGGGGAGACCTAATTTGAAGGCTTTACAACAATATTTAGGCTTCTGCTGAGGAAACATCCCTTTCTATGAACCTTCCCAATGTAGTTTAGCTTGCCATACATTTTATTCTTACGGATCTCTAGATGTGATATATTGATTCTATTTATTATCTATTTTTATTATTTGTGAACTTTGCTTTGAAATCTATAGATACTGATAGTTAATAAATGATCCAAAAGTTCAATTTTGTCTTGCATCTCTTAGTGCTCAGTCCTACAGGGATGCCTCTAATCCCTTTGAATTTGGATGCTATCATATCTTGGTGGTGGTGGTATTCTTCCCTCCCACACCCAAACACTCCCACAAGCCCTTCCACAAGGTCACTCATATGACATTGGAGAAGTACTTGGAGAAGTTTGTGAGTGGGGACTAGGATCCAGCTGGGAGCAGATCCCCAGCTATGTTGCTGCAAATTTAAAAAAATCCTGTGGCCTTCCAGATACTCCCTAGAGTCATAGGACTGTACTGCTCCTCAGCTAGAATAAAACATGTAATTCTGTGCATGGGGAAATCATAGGACTTTTTTCTGTCTAAATATGCATAGGATTGTGCCCTAAGTTGATCTAAACTTGACCACATACATGTTTAGAAATGTTATCTTTTTTCCATTTCTCTACAGATAAATTGCTCTCCTGCATCTTTGTCAAAAGCCTGGGCATGGGCAGCAGAAGACAGGAGAAGGGGATCAGCACCAGGACATCACAACTCAAAGCCATAACAAGGTTCACTATCAAGTTCAAGACACAGTCACATACAGACCAAAGTCAGGAACTAGAAGTATGTATCAGGTCAAGACATGGACAAGCCAAGGGTTAAGAACCAGGAATACAAACAGAGCAGGTATCTTAAGGAAGGATAACTGGACAGGACACAGGGCAACAGTCAAGATGTAAGCAAGGATCAAACAAGGTGTAGGAGCTGAACCACACCACAGCTGGCAGGAAGATCTGCATCACTGAGAGGCAGGATTTGGGTCAGGCAAAATACAGACTTTACAGGGAAAAAGGGAATACCTGTGTTGTTGAGGCAAGTTATGGAGGGAAGAGCTAGCTTTTATGTAGCTGGTCCTGCAGGGCTTCCAGTCTGGTGCCTATCAGGAGGTTAAGTGCGCCAGCAGGGCTGGGAACTGATCCTGCAAATACTAAGGAGGGCCTTCTGATTCTGACCATCCAGCGAAGTTCCAGAACAGCCCAGATCCTGACAATTTTGGACCTTAAGTTATTCAGGGTATTGGTAACATATAGACAATAATTTCATATAAAGAAAACAAGGGACCCATCTCAAATTTAGCATATCTTATTGGTTCTATCCTATTTTCAGTCAAGATACCCTTGCTTATTCACAGTCCTAACACAGACAGTCCATTCTAGGGTTTTCCATCAAAGCATCACTTCCTTGTTTATCTTCACCTTCAGTTTTTCACCTACACAAAACAATTATGAAATAACTAATTTCACAGAGTTCCATGCATGCCTATTAAGTAGGTTTTGGTGAGAATATTCATTAAATTATCTGGAAAATTCATCAAGATTATTTCTTATTCATTTAATTTCCAAAGCTCTTCCATAATTACTGGTACTTGTACATGAAGGGTGTAAAAAGGGAAGAGGAAAAGCATTTCTAAGCCTGATTAAAACTATTGCATCTGACAACAATACAAAATATTACATTATCAGAGCAACAGATGTTGTATTTGTCCACCATAACTTCCAGTGCAATTCATTTCATGAAGGCATATTCCAGGGCAGTATTTCTAGTACTTGGCAAATGACCCATCCTAAGTTGACTCTTGTGCTTTTAACAGCAGCTTGAAGGACAATCAAAAACAGTATGTTTTACAACTAGGCAGTTACCATCAAGCACTGTGCTTATCAGCACATGTGGTACAATATCGAATGGGATTTTCACTGTTTTAAAAGATCCAGGGCTTCATCAAAGAGATGCCAAAGCCTAGAACAGGGAAGGGCAACTCACCACTTTCCAGATGTTTCTCCTTACTACTTCCATCCTATTTCTTCATTGGCTAGGCTTGCTAGTGCTGATGGAAATGGCATTCTATCACGAGCTGGACATATTGTTTACTCCTGTTTTTGGTTTTGGCATTTGATCAGTGATTTTTTTAGGCGATAGAGCAAGAAAACCTGATTTTATAGGCTGGTACAGGATATCAATCCACAGATTTAGTTTAAGTATGAATGTACTTTTATTTCAACAGGTTTGCATGTGTTGAACTACTCTTATGTGCGATCAAGTTGTGTCACTCTTTTCTAGGAAAATTCAAGAATTGTTCATACTTCAAAACCAGTTCAATATCTGATAGAGAATTCAGACAATATTGACTTCAACCTGACCTCCTTGCATTTTTTTAATATAATGGGAATCCATCCCAGTCCCTGCTAATTCAAATTATGATATTTGCACATTTGTAACCTTGCATAAAATATAGTTGACAAAGAATTAAGACCATCCTGGCCAGAGCAATGGTGTTCTGGCGACTCTTCCCTTCCCCATCAAGAGGCAGATTCCCTGCTGCGTACCAGCTGCAGTTTTGCAATCGACTTCAAGGGCAACCTCCTGCCGAGACCATTACAGTTATGGAGACTGAAAGCTCAAAGGCAGGAATGATGGTTTCAAGGTGTGATTGTGGAAGTAAAACACCACAGCCTCCTTACCACACTGATCAGGTAAAAAAGATACCTTCTTTCCCTAACCTGCGTCCCCGGTGAGACCAGGCAATCCACTTGAAGGCTTCAGAGTCTATGGGAGGTATACACCAATAGCAAGTGGCTCTTCATCTATAAGTTCCAAAGCCTTTTAAGGGCTTTTTAAGAAATGTGAATCTTATCTGTCTTTCCTGCGTTACTCCTGAATTTAGTTTCACTGAGTTCACCCACGCTAGTATAGCAACCATGACCAGAATCTACCTAGGAATACAAAAAGGGTTAGATGAACAGGACAAGCAATACCCTAATACAAGAATACCAGGAGCTATCTGTTTATAGATACTTTCTCACCTTTCAGTTATCACATGCAAATAATATTTTCCCTAAATATTATCGTGTCTTAATTATTTTCAGAAACATGGTTAAGAGTACATTTTTCTGCTGATGTGATAGTCTCACAGTACAATAAGTAACACTCAAAGTTTGGCCCAACAAGACATGAAATGACTGCTCAGTAAAGATCAAAGCATACTGTCAGATTTAGGTTCTATTTTCTTTCCCTTTCTTTACTAGAGCTTTATACTTCATGATGCAGTATATAAAATATTATTTAAATATATGTTCTTGTATTCATAGCATCTAATTTTCTTCTTCAGCTTTCACTGATAGATTGTTGCAATCAGATTAAAATGGAGGTAAATTGAGGGAAACCCAGGCTGGTTATAATTTATAGGATTTTTAAAAGCAAATTTTTTAAAAAGTCTGCTGGCTCCTGTAGCCAACTTAATTAATCAGGATCCTTCCTGGAGCCCACAAACTCTTGCTGCATATGAATAGGATAATAAGGGCCATTTGATGTTTGTAATTATGAACTTTAATCTCAGTGACATGCAAGGGATCCAACAAAGGTCGGGCAAAACCTGTTACATTGATGCATGATGGACGCCAAAGAGTATATAAAGATAGAACCTAAAGATGACAAGAATGGGAACTTGCATCTTCTGTCTGAGAAAGCAAATCAGCAGAGATCGTTTCTACCATGACCAACAAGAAAGCTTCTTTGAAAGGTAAGGTCATTTGTCACTTGTTCCATGGGGCATTTTTTTCAGTTATATTAGAATCAAAAATTAAATTAAATCACAGGAGCCACTGAATAGGAATGGATAAGCACACCACAAGTTGCTTTCCCACTTTTATCAGGGAAATATATTCTTGCGGCCATAAGAGGGGAAATCTACCTGCAACTTTTGCACATGTACAATATCAGACCTGGTGGATCATCTCCCAGGTTCGCCCACAAAGCCCAGTGTGTTTTGTACTAAAAAGTATAACTGCAGTTGTCGATAAGACTTTTAGCTCTTATTGACAACTGCACATTAAAAATAAAGTTGTTGTAATTTTATTTCTCGTGGAATTCAATGCGTCACAATGTACCACTGTTACCTCAACTTCCTTCAGCCTGCTATCTAGCCTAGTTAACTGTGTGATCCTTCCAACGCATGGTTTCTCAGATGTAAGCCTACTACAACTAATAGGATTTACTCTCAGATAAATATATACAGGATTGGAGCCTAAAAGCTCACTCCTATGCACCTTTACTTAAATGTCACATAGCGCTCAGCCAGCAGCATGCATAGGAGGGCAGCCTCGGGGTGACCACTAGGTTGGCACTAGATCTTGCATAAACAACATCCCACTTGCACTGGGAACCCCTCATGCAGCTCAGTGTTTCCCCAGAAAGCCCATCGCGCCAGCAAATGCGGTTGCCATTGTGCTAGAGGACACTTACACTACTGCAGCATAATTTATGTTAGCAGTCGTGTCCGGCTGGATACTACTCTAAGTCTGCAAAACGCTTCCTCAGTTGCAGCTAAATAGTGCAGCGCTGTCCCTGCAAGCTCCGCTGAGTTTGACAGGATTTGCTCCCACGGAAGCACGCATATGCTTACAGCCTGAGAACTGCAGCTCCTGCGTCTTTTCATTATACTTAGCCCCATCGCCCCTTCTTCTTTGTCATCTTCTTCGTCGTCTTCATCCTCTTCTTCGTCATCTTCTTCAGCTTAAAGTAAAGCTGGTGCTACATCTGAAATGTTACATACTTTAAAATCTCTCTCTTTATACACATGTGTGCACACTCACATATAAACATGCATTTTATTACATTTAACTGTACACTGTTCTGAGAGTGTTTACTATAGAAAATTTAAATACATACATACATTAAGATTTTAATTTTTTACACTTAAGGTTTTTTTTTAAAAAAAGCCTTTAAAATCTATCAGAGGTATAAATTGGATGTGTTAATGGTGGTCATTGAGTGAAGTTCTGGTGAACTCCAACGCTCGCTGTGACTTTGGTACCGGTAGCGTTGTTGAGTACTAACTTTCCATAGCTGTTCACTGACTAGGACCCATCAATCCCATGGAAGGTCACCCAGATCCAAGATCAACAGCTACAATGAAGGGTGATAACAATCCATTGTACAGACAGCATGCATTAGAGTTTCTGTTAGAACTCATATAATAGGGAATGTGATATTTTCAGAACTCAGGAAGCCACTGTACATCATCTCAGACTATTGGCCCCTCTAACTCAGTATTCTCTAGTCTGACTGGCTATGGCTGTCCAGAGGCTCAGGAGCCCGTCTTTTGCTTCCCCTGTACTTGATCTCCTTGGAGAAGTCAGGGATTGGACTTAGGAGCTTCGGTATGCAAAACATATGCTCTGTCCCTGAGCTGGGGCTTCTCCCAAGAACTGACCTAGGCTATTGCCCCATCTATTCTACTTTATTGCTTATTATACAGCCTCTTTCCTAATTGCAAGTTAAGCAAATACAAAATGAACATGCTTGGATTTTGCCTTTCACAGAACAGATATCTGCCTTATTTGTTTTGTGTATGCTAAAGGATATGGGACAATGTCTAACCAATGTATATATTCATCAGGTATTAACTTTAATTATCTTCTAGTGAAAAAAAAGCCCTTACATACAAGGTTTTGCAGAAGTGTTCTGTCAAGACATTCAAAAGCCCTTTTGAAAGAATTAAAGCACAGTACAATTTTTGGAGGCACTTAAGAGTTACACATGTAGAAGAGTTTAAATAGCACAGCTGCTGAAAATTTGCAGATGGAATCCCAAGACAATCAAAATCTTGAGAGTGACCTAGCCACTTTCCCTCAAATTTAATTTAAACACCATATGTTCGTAGAGAAGGAAGCCACCCTTGGGGAAAGAAAGAAAGAAGGGCTCAACCTATTTTTCCACACTCTTAGATTTATGCAAATACAATTATATATCTATATTTACATGGTGAAAAACTTGATTTCCCTACATATGGTTGTTTAATGAAGTCAAGCTTTAAAGTAAGACCCATGGAATACAGAACGTATTCTTTTGAATTGTTTTGCTTTCTGGACACGTTTTATTTTTACCTGAACAGGTACACTGTTGGCTATCCTGCTGATGACTAATATTTTCATGTCGAGGAAGTGTGTAACCTCCTTGCCTATCTGTCCCAGTGAAACTGATGGTTGCCAGGTCTCCCTTGGGGATCTTTTTGACCGTGCTGTCAAACTTTCACACTACATCCACTCCCTTTCTGCTGAAATGTTCAATGAATTTGTAAGTACTCAAACCTTTTACCGAATGTACCTTTCTACAGAATGTAGTCCGCATCCTAAAGTGGACATTTAAAAAAGACACATCCAACAGGAAAGCCATTTTGGGCAAATTATAGACACCAGTGTTATTAGCGGTAACAGTCTCAGGATAAGAAAAAGCACTAGTATACTACTACTAGTCCACTACTACTATACTACTAAGTAATTTATTGCCATTTCTCTGGAAAATCTGGGTGCACTGAGCAGCTCATATTTACTGTATAAGTAGAGTATGGTGCCACCTGATTCTCAAAAGTGATTTATTTCCGCATAACAATTTAAAAAGAGCCAGTGTCATGTAGTGACCGAAGAGATCTGGGTTCTAGTCCTCATTCAGCCATGAAGCTCACTGGGTGACTTTGGGTCAGTCAATCAATCTCAGTCTACTTTACCTCACAGGTTCCTGTTGTGAGAAAACAAAAAACAGAATGGATGAGAACTATGTAAGCTGCCTTGGGTTCCTTGCAAGAGGGAAAACAATAATAAATACAATACAGTAATATTAATATTATGCAATATTAGTAAGAATAACTCTTGGTCTAACCTACCTCATAGAGCTGTTGTTGTAAACAAGAAAAAGGGGAGAGTCTTGCGAGCTGCCCTGGATTCCAGGCAAGAGGAAGACAGGCAGGATACAATTATAATGTAATATAATAAGAACAAAGCAAATTCAATGTGTTTCAGTCATAGAAGTAGACATTATTCAGCTCTGGTACAAAATTAATGCCCTTATTACCAAGGAACAAATGGAAAGAGAAAGCAATCCCCCCTTTTCTCCAATCTTTTTCTTCTTCCCATATGACAAGATATTAAAAGTAATCTTTGCTTTTCTTAAGGATGAACGCTATGCTCAGGGCCGAGGGTTTATTGCAAAAGCCGTTAACAGCTGCCATACTTCTTCTCTAACTACACCTGAAGACAAAGAGCAAGCACAGCAAATCCATGTGAGTTCTGCCATGTGTGCATGGGAATGTGAGGGCTAGGGAAGCACCTTACCTGGTATAAAGAAGCACGCCTGCAGGTGTCAGTCCAAAGAAAACAGATGGAAAGATAGAACACCAAAAATGATCATGGGAAATCTGGTGAAAACCTTTAGAAGGCAGGTTTTCAAAAACAAAGATTTGGGTGTTCTGTGAATTCCCTTCCAGGGTCAGAAAAACAAAAGAGGAGGCACAAGTGTAAAACAAACTAAGAGGAAGCAAGTTTTGAGTGATATGAATGAGGACTTAGTGAAAACCATGAAAAACAACCACCTCAGTTGCTTGTTCAGCAGCTGCAAATTCCAAACCGTGCTTGCCTCCTAATGATATATGGTTTAGTGCAGGCTTGCTCAGTCCAGGCTGGCTGGGGATGATGGATGTTATAGTCTAACATGTCTGGAAGGTGTCAGGCTTGGGAAAGTTGTCTTTGTGCACGATATATCTTTTCAGAAAGTGTCCTTTCTAACCTCTAGTCCCTGTAATAAGGAAAGGCAGACATACGGTTTGTGCTATCTCTATTTACTAGAACTGAAAGGCCCACCAAATGGAGTCAGATGGTGGCAGGAGGAGCAGACACACTTGCTTTCATGCATCATGGGGGATCAGCTGCCTAAATAAATACAAGTCAGCATCTTACAGACATTCTAACAGCCTGTCTTAGACCCAAAAACAGCTACTCTAGTCTACCGTCTGTCCAACCCTGCCCTTATCGCCAGTGTCCACCCTCTGCCTTCCTTTGGTTGCACTGCTTGTTTGAATGAAACAAATTTCAGTGTTCCTCTGGAAGAGGAATATTTTTAAACATTTCACACTGAATAAGTGGCTGAAAAACAGCAGGAATCCATTTATTTTCTCGCTGCTAACATTTCAGGTGTCTAGGAATGTGCCTAACTCCAACTATATTAAAACCTCACCTGTTTATATTGATTTCTATGGGTAGCTCTCCTTTTGGACCTTAGGGATATTTAAATATTGTTTCTCAATGTGAATTTAGAAATGGCATATCCGGACAATGAGTAGGTTCTCTCTACCATCTACATGTCTGTGTCTCTCCCTTCACCATAATTTCTGAGCCACTTCATTCTATTCTCCCTTCCTTAGATCTTTGTTCCATGGCCACTGAATAGTTCCGTTTCGACAAGACTGGTTTCCTAGAGAACTTTTGTACTGAAGGGTTCCTCCAAGTCTGATTATACTACCCTTTTGAGCATTGGTTATGCTGTTTTGGCTACATTCTCAACACTGAATTGAAAATAGAATACATGATGATGTCATTCTTTCCCTGTCTCTTGTAAAAGTTTTCTCCAAAAATAAAATTTGCCTGCTTAAATGACCCATGGAGAGTTATTTCAGATTCAAATCCTCATAAATAAAATAGGAATCTATAGCATTTTTAGCATAAAGATTCTTGTATACCTTTTTATGGGCTGCAGGTGGCGCAGTGGTTTAAACCGCTGTGCTGCTAGGCTGGTTGATCAAAAGGTTGCCGGTTTGAATGTGCACAACAGGATGAGTTCCCGTTGCTCCGTCCCAGCTCCTGCCAACCTTGCAGTTCGAAAGCATGCAAATGCGAGTAGATAAAAAGGTACCACTTCGGTGGGCAGGTAACAGCGTTCCGTGCACTTTGGTGTTTAGTCATGCTGGCCACATGACCACGGAGACTGTCTGCGGACAAACGCTGGCTCCCTCGGCTAGGAAACGGAGATGAGCACCGCCCCCTAGAGTCAGGCATGACTGGACTTAATGTCAAGGGGAAACCTTTACCTTTACACCTTTTTATAAAGTTGCCCTTGGATTATGCAATCTGAATTCACACAAATTTGCAGGAAAAAAATCTTCCACAAATACAGGAAGTTCTGGAACAGGATTGGTGGAAGCAGCCCCATCTTTTTCCAGGAAAAAGGTGGAAGTTGTGGTAGGAGGTGACATATCAGACAATGAGAGGGAAGTAGTACTGACATGCACAAGACTAGGATCCTATCCAAGGCAAATAAGTCACATATTTTCCCCAATATCCCAGCTTTTTATATTAAAAGAACCCAATTTTAAAGTTTCTAGTCCATAGACTTGTAGAGGAAATTAGAATATTGTAAAACTTCTGAAAGTATTTTTAGGTGTTGAAAGAGCACTCAGCACTGAATTTCTACTGAGTCCCAGGCAATGGATTTAATTGTGAGTGCCATTCATCCACTGAATAACGCACTTCCTCAGGAATCAAAATATGTGGCACAGACATCTATCTGTTTGTATTGGCTAGATGGGTGATGTTTGAGCATGTGGACTTAGTAGCACTGCTATTCTTCCAATGGAAAAAGGCGAGTTTGTGCCGTAGGGTAAGTGTGTTTTGCCACAGTAAGCAAAGTGAAAAGTGTTGGTGTCAACATTAGAGGGGTCTCAAGAGCAGCAGAATGGCTAGGAGGATCCCAGGAAAGCAAAAAGCCCTTTGATCTTGCAGCTCACCTCAAGCAGTGGCAAAGTTTCAAAAGAAAAGAAATCTCCCCAGAAGCAAAATACTTCAAAGGGGAATCAGACCTATGTCTGGGCATGTTCACTGAGCTATGTGTAGACATTAGAAATGGTATTAAGTGGCCTACCACAGATTGCACCTTCCATTGTGTGTTCAAATATTTTCCAGATCCCATATTTCTAAAAATGTCTCATTAATGCTCATGCTAATCATGAGATTAAATGGCATTCCATTCGACAAGGCTAAGCAGAATGATCTCTACCAGCAGAGTACTGCAAAGTGAATTTATTGATGAGATCTGGTTAGGTGATTTTGTTACCTAGTTATTTTTAAAAAAAAATCTTTCCAAACATTAATTTCACAACAGTCTTCAGCTCTGTCTGTAAGACAGACAAAGTGAAATGAAACTATCAAAAGAATATAATGCAACATTGTTCAGTTATCTACCTCCTGTATGGCACTATTTAATTTCTTCATTTTTTTAACAAGCAGCATGAGGACCTGCTAAATCTAGTCCTGAGTGTACTCCGTTCTTGGAATGACCCGCTGCTTCACCTAGTCTCTGAGGTGCAAAGAATCAAGGAAGCACCTGATACCATTCTCTGGAAGGCCGTGGAGATTGAGACGCAAAACAAACGGCTTCTGGAAGGGATGGAGAAAATAGTTGGACGGGTGAGTAGAAAGGACCCAGCTGCCTAATACCCTTCGGAAGTGACACAATGACACAAGTGTTATAGTCAGACGAAAAGTCTTCTTTTGAAAAGGTAGCAGTGAAGGCGAAGGGCCGGTAAAGGCTCCCTGATCTTAATTAGAAGGAACAAATCTATGTGCTTCCAGAGAAAGCATGTATTGTGCAGTAAGCCTTGATCTTCGAATGTTACAGGAAGATGACTCCCATTTGCAACCATTCCATTTTTTTCCATCCTTCTTACAACAGAAAATCCATTAAGGAGGGGAATATTGAGTGGCTGCGCAGTGGTAGATCTAAGCTAGAATTTCCTTATATTTTAAACAGATTCTTAATGTCACAATTTTCTCAATACTGGTAGAGACACTAACGGTGTTTGTGAAGAAGATGAGCATCATTTTTTTTTTCTCTTCCTCATTAGGTTCACCCAGGTGAATTGGGCAATGAAGTCTATTCTAGATGGTCGGGCCTCCCATCTCTCCAACTTGCTGATGAAGATTCTCGTCTCTTCGCTTTCTACAATCTGTTGCATTGCTTGCGAAGAGATTCCCACAAAATCGACAACTATCTGAAGCTCCTGAAGTGTCGCCTTATCCATGATAGTAACTGCTGAGCACTTTATAAAAATGGTAGCATGAAACCCATTCAAGCTGACCTGCTTTTAGCTTCATTGCTTTTCACTGCACAAAGCACATTTTGTGAAAAATCACATCTGGTGGTCTAAGATTTCTAAATCTATTGTATACATTTGCCTTTGGTTTTGGATTCAAATAGTTGTTCTAGCATCCAAAACTCTGTGATAAGCCAATCTTTTCTGTTAAGAGCGCTTTATTGTGTCTTTTCCTGGCATCAAAATGATATTCAAATCAAGCAATAAAAATATACTGAGATATTAACATGTGTTTGTGCAAAACTGAGATTAGTTTAACAATTTTGGAATGTGAGCTCCTTTAGTTACAAACCTTATAGGTCTTACATACAGAGTTTCACAGGGCTTGTATGTAATGGATGATCCACTCAGCCAAGAAGAACTCATGGGACCTTTAGTCAGTTGAGTGGATCATCAGTTACACCCAGGGATCCTGGGACTGCTATGGAACCCCTATTTCTGGCTCCAACAGGCAGTCTTGTTTTGCTTCCCTGAAAAGAAAGGCCTGAGTCTGTTGGGATCTGCTATTTTTTTACAGACTTCACAGAATTAAACCTACAACTAAATGCAAGTGTGTTCAAATGTGATTATCAGTGTAATTCTATACATGATTACTCCAAAGTAAGCCCCACTGTGTTCAGTGGAGCTTACTCTTGATAAATTGGTGTAGGATTTCAGCTGAAAACATTTGAAAGCTAAATTATTTTAACTTAATGGAGAACAGCACTTATAATAATGCACAAAATATTTGCATTAAACTAGTTCATGAGATATACATAAAATCCAGGACACAATCCAGATTATTTTGTTGGGAAAGGTCTGAAGAATATTTTCTTTTTTACTTGAAAGAGAAAATAGCCCAGCTGTAGAACAAACTAGTATTCCATTTGATCCCATTAATATCACCATGGTTTCACAGATCAGCAATTTAGCAAAGCAAAATTACAAACACTCTTCAGAAAGTGTTCACACTTGTTTTCCAAATAAAGACAGTATCCAATATAGAGCCAGTCTTACAAAGAGGCAAGTAAACCTAATCACTTCAGGCAGCAGATTCCAGAAGTTCCAGAACAGCTTCCATTTTGTTCCTGTGAATCTCTGTGAGTCCATAGTAAGGCATGGGTATCAGTCTAACTTCTCAGATCGAATAAAAGATATCTAAGGCTGGAACTGACCCTGTTTCTATTAGGAAGACAAGGCAAAAGTGGGCTTTCCTGTTGTCAGGAACAAGGATAACCAGGATCAGTCAGGAAAGTCCCCTTTCGCCTTGAACTTCAGCAGTTTTATTGAAAGATCACCCAAGACCTCTGCAGTTACAACAGCATGCTACCAGGTAGTGGATTTCAGCACCATCTACAAAATCACAGCCTATGTACAGATACTTTTATAACCTGCTAATCACATATACCAATACAGAGTGTTAAGTTTCCAGATAATCTTAGTACAATGGCATCCTGATGACTTTAGGCATGCCACTAATAGTGTTAATCTACAGCAGCTTCTTAGTCCACTTAAGAATTCCATCTTCTTAAAGTAACAACAGCACTAAACAGTGACCTGGCTTGGAATTGAGATGCTTTCTGAGAAAGGAGTGCAGGTTTTATGTTATACCACAAAGGCACATATAAGCAATGTTTTTCTACCAGGATTTGTCTGAATTTTCCCAGCATTGTCCAGCTGGTGACTGAAACATTGGTTTCCCCGGTGTGTCCAGACAGAATCTTTGAAAAGCCAGTTTTACCCCTGCCAAGCACATTTACTTTAGCTATTCCTCTGGGAACCTTAATGAAAAGATGAAGGGTGGGCTGAAGAGTCACTTGTTATGGAGTCCATACTTCTGAGCCTAAATTCCAAAAAAATGCTCTAACATCACCACTAGCCTATGCTACTACAGCAACTAAACCAAGTGTGCAGAAATACATACAAAACAACTGTAGTCATACACCAGAAACAGTTTTATCAGGAGTTGTGCAAACAGCTAAATTTGGTTTCTGCACTGAAGGAGCTTAACGTATACAAGCATTTTCAATTATCTTAATGAGACCACTGTAAAGACCTTTTGCCTAAACCTGGATTACCAACCTCTGATAAAGTTAAAACCTAGCCCAAATGTTTGGCCAAACCTTAATCTACATCCTTTCCTAAATTCCAAACACTTTGTCAGGACTTCCATTTGTGCAACACATTTCAGAAGTGCTAAATGATCTATAAATACCATGAGTGTGTTCTTTCAGTGTTTCTGTCCTGCCAAGAAGCTGGAAGTCCTTATAATCTTACCAGAGAGCATCTAGGTTCTTGGGAAATCTCTGACCTATTTGTGCAGACAAAAGGGTTTAAGGTAGCTTAGAGCAAAAGTATAGGTGCTTAATCATCCCAGTTCTATCCATCCTCTGAACACTTTTGAAGTGAATGCATCATTTTAGAGTGGCGTATGCCATTATGCACAGTGAAGGCTGCTTCATTAAACAGTGCATGTGTAGCAGAACCAGTGGGTAACCAGAACCATGGCATCTCTTCCACCATGCAGGTTGGTAACGAAGCAATGCAGGAAGCCTTCTTTAAAAGCAGACTTGGCTGCATTCAGCTTCAGTGTGGCTGATGACTTTGTTCCCTGTTGCTTCAAAATGAAAAAAATGGAATATTTTGAAGTAAGAACTTATTTTTTGTAATATTGAAATAGAGGGTTTTGTCCCATTACTTCTCTTGAGTACTGAGTGAATGCAGAGAGACTGCATTGTGAATTCTGAGTTCACTGGGAAGCTATTAATTCTGATTAATAATACTGGACAATGCAGACAGAAAATGTTTAAACTATTTAACTGAAATTTTGTGTATTGAGTCTCCTATTCTTTTCATGAGAAAATCTTCTACAGTCAATGTGTTGAAATAACCCAATGTATTAACAAAAATTCAGGTGTGCTTGTTTTTAGTCAGGGTTTGATACTTTCACCTTTGAGGATGATGCAACTTCTGTCAATTGGCAGCTGGCAGGGTAGATCACCTCTTCCCTAAAATCCATCACATAGTTTGCCATAGGAGGAATGTTCAAAGCATCAAGCAGAACTCTTGTCGCTGGTATTTCCAGAAATGCAGAAAAATGATAGGGAAAACGGGGGTGCTGTAAAAGAAAATGTTGTTTTATTGTCTCCTTAAATATATTTATTGGCTTCTCCACTCTTAGAACTTCAGTGTTCCAAACAGATGTTGTTACAGTGCACACAGCAGACTACATGAAGTCACCTAGCACATGTTGTATTGCATTTGTTTTTTGCTTGATTTATCAAAGACGCTCAGATATCATTTTATACAACAACCCTATGAGGCAGATCAATCTGAGCATCAAGGTATGTTCAAGGATGCTGAGAATTCAACGCTTGATCACTTGTTACTCTATGCATTTTTAATTGATAGAAAAATTATGTTAGTTGAGATTTAGCTCAGATAGCTCATTCACATAAGTAAGAATTTGTTTGGTGCTGAACGGCCTAAGCCTGCACATGCAACCTAGTGGCGTTCTGACATGGAGTTCCCATGCCCAAGACAACAGTTTACCTACAAAGGCTCATTTACTGGTATTGACAGAGCAAAGGCTGGATGCAGCAAAGGAACAGAGTATCATGAGCATAGAAGCCCCCACTCCAGATGGTGTTACTGAACATCATTTCTTGATGCTTAAGTACTGTGGCAATAGTACACATTGTATGACTGCACATATTGGACACGGGGTACCTATATTCTTGATGTATCTCCCAGTGGTCAGGGTATTAAAGAAAAGGCTAGTAAAAACACCAGTCTTGCTAATGCCATGCATACTTTGCTAAAGATATGCCAAAACACTGCTATTGATGTTGGCTGTAACTTTGCCAATAAGCAGCAGTAAGTAGCTCTTTGGTATTGACTTGACATATAAAATAATTATAGTCTCATTATTGTCTCCCAAGTTCATCTCTGTCCATGAAGATAAATTACAGCATCCCCAACTTCTGTGGCTCTGAATTCTCAAGCACTCTTTTAGGCTGATAATTGACCTGATCATTAAAAGCCATTGCTGAGAAAACTACTGTATGTGCACCAGTGCTGGGGGGTGGCAGGGGAGTCTTCAAAGCATAATTTCTGAGGGCACCATATCAAACATTATGAATTCAAGTTAGGGAAAAGCCATTTGTAATCAATGCTCATCCTGACATCTCACATAAATATTCACTTTCTCATATACGTTTGTGCTGATTTTGTCACAAAAAAGGAGGTCTCTGGATAAAATAGCCAGGAAGGAAGAATTTCTATCTTGTGCCACCTGGATGCCTTCATTCTGAAAACATTAACCCATTTTTCTCTCTATCTACTGCAAACATTCCTTTCCATCAATATGAACACCGCTTTTCCAGAAATATGGTGGTATTCTATCATTTGTAATAATACTAAGTGGCAGTACTATCAAACAATGGCTAGTGGCTAGTGCCACTAGCATCCATGGAATACTTGTGGACTACTAGTGCTGGTTCCTAGATTTCTATCCTTTATTTATTTTTATTTAAAACTTTTATATGCCATCCCCTCATGCCTCGGCATCTCAGGTCAGCTTACAACATAGAATTAAAACAATAAAACAGTAACAAATACAGTAAAATTATATAAAAAAACAAAAAAGCAACTGATAATGATAAAATTAATTTTAAAATAGCCATTAAATAAAAAGGTTTTAACCTGGCACCAAAAAGAATATAGACTCGGCGCCAGGCGCACCTCTCCAGGAAGCACATTCCATAACCTGGGTGCCACCGCAGAGAAGGCCCTGCTCCGGGTAGTTGTTCTTTTTACTCCTTTAAAGATGGCTCCCGGAGCAAAGTCTCTCCTGCACATCTTAAGGGGTGTGAGGGCATGTAAGGGAAGAGGCGTTTCTTCAGGTATCCTGGTCCCAAGCTGTTCAGGGCTTTATAGGTTAAAACCAGCACCTTGAATTGGGCCCGGACTTCAACTGGGAGCCAGTGGAGCTGATAGAGGACCTGTGTTATATGAGAGTAACGACCGGTCCCCGTCAGCAGCCTGGCAGCTCTGTTCTGTACCAGCTGGAGCACCTGGACCATTTTCAAGAGCAGCCCCACGTAGAGCATGTTACAGTAATCCAAGCGGAAAGTTACCAGAGCATGTATCACTGTTGCTAGGGAGTGCTTATCCAGGTAAGGATGCAGCTGATGGGTCAGTCGAAGTTGTAGAAAAGCACTCCTTGCCACTGCCACCACCTGAAACTCCAGTGACAGCTCTGGAGTTACCCCCAAGCTGCGGATCCTGTCCTTTAGAGGGAGTGCTACTCTGTCCAGAACTGGGTCAAAATCACCTACCTGGAAACCCGTACGGCCCACCAACAGGACTTCCGTTTTATCTAGACTGAGGCTCAGTTTATTGGTGCTTATTCAATATGCTGTTGAATTATCACAGGTGAATTATCACTGGTGAGATTTGGCAATTTTATAGTCTGCTCTTGATGAATCTGCTTCAGACCAACTGTAAGAATTCTTTATTCCAGCTTCTCCATCGGCAACAGGGTTTGTAATGCACTCTCACAGTATGATGATATCTGAGCATGTGTGGCAAGACTGGCTGTCAATATTACGCCTTCCAATCTACTGGATTTCCCCAGGTTCTTTAAAGTTTGTCCCTTATATTGAGTGTCTGACTTTCTAGTGCATGATGCAGAAATTCAAGATGAATTGAAGCAAAATCTGAAATTCAAGCAAAATCTGAGAGCTAGCCATCTCGGATTTCTTTTATTCATTTATTTAAAACATCATAGTCTTCCAAATAAATTGAGCACACACTCAATACAGTATAACTTCTGTGTCAAGATAACTAAGATATGTGCTAGCTCTGACCATACCTGACATTTAAGAACATTGAAAGAGTTCAAAGGTCTACCTCTTCCAGTATTCTGCTCCTACAGATGCCTACGGGAAGCTCCTGAGCACAATAGCAACCTCCTGTTGATGTTCCCCTAGCAACTGGCACTGGGTCATAATACATTGCTATTGTCTTCCACCATGGCAGGGTGCAATCATGCATTCAGGTCCTCCACTTGTGTTTAACAACTTCCACATTCGTCTGTTGCAGCAGAAGCAAGAGCCTTGTAGCATTGTAAAGATTAACACATTGTTTTGTCTTAGTCTTCAAAATTATTAGCTGTTTTTACTTACCTTGTGTGGCTACTACGTATCAAGTTCTTCAGAATTTCACACTTAGAACTTCCATTTAATCTATTTACTAAACAAAATGTAATCTCTCAGTTATAACATGGAAATCCACTCTAAAAGCCTAATATTTCTCAAGAAAGCACACTTTTAGGCTGTTCTTATTTGCAACTTTTTTGTAGAGATTAAAGCATGTGTCATGTGGCAAAAAAATATCCCCGTAAAGGGGTAGGACCTGGAGCTTTAATGCACCTGGGATGCAACTTGGAGAGCTCTTTAAGATATGTCCATAGCCTCAAGAAGACCCACCAGGAATCTGGATATTTGACTTCTTTGAACTGCAGGCTCATTTGTTCTAATAATGTATTGGAAACTGCTTCTGAAACCCAGAATTTAAAATGTGGCTCTCTATGTTGTTACAAAAACAAATAAAAAGCCAAAAGGGCCAACAGGAGTGCAAAATGTCACACAGTTCACTCAGTTGTGGTTGTAGCCTTTCCACACTCCCATCAGCAGCAAGATGTTGCTTGGGAAAGGAATTCTGGGTTTGGGCATATTTTAGTGGTAGTATATATAGTTGTATGCAGCTATACACCAGTACAAACATATATTACATTGTGCTAATGCAAGCTAATGCTTGTGCAACATAACTAGTGTTTGCCAGGGTAATAGTAAAAACGGAACATGCTCCCCAGAGAGGTTCGCCTGATGCCAACGCTTCTTTCCTTTCAGCATCAGGCAAAAATGTTTTTATTCTCACAATATTTTAATTGATAACCTGTTTTAATTGGTGGTTTTACATTTACACCGGATGCTGTGCAACTGCTACTTGTACTTCTATTTTTATTCAATTTTATTAATCTGTTGTAAACCATCCCAAGAAGTCTGTGAAGGGACAGTATAGAAAAGTTTTAAATACGTAAGTAAGTAATGTGATTTTCTGCTGAGTTTCAGTCAAAAATTTAGGCAGCCAATCAATGCCTTTTCTGTTGCTCTAGCAAAAGCTGGCAGATACATTCATATAAAGTCTGTCCTCTGCCATCTTCACTGGCTACCAATTGAGGTCCGGGCCCAATTCAAGGTGCCAACATTAGTGCTTAAAGCCCTAAATGGCTTGGTGCTGGTATCTAAAGGAGGAGTCTCTTCCTGAATGAACCTACTGGCACCTTAGAGCCACATCTGAGGCCCTTCTGAGGGAACCCCCTCTGCAGGAAATAAGGAGGGTGGCTACAGTTAGAAGGGTTTTCTCAGGAGTGGCACTCCAACTCTGGAATGAGTTCCATAGAGAGATTTGCCTGGTGCTTTCTTTATACTCTTTTCAGCACCAGATGAAGACCTTTTTTATTTTACCAGTATATTATTAACCTGTTATTAATGGTATTTTAATAATATAGCATGTCTTTTATGAAATCATTAGTTCTGTTAAATTGGGTGCATTTTTATTGTTTTACTGATTTATTGTAATTTGATTTTTTGTGCTTTTATACTATTCTATATGTTTCATTGTTGTAATACACCCAGGGAACCATGGGGCTAATAGAGAGGGTTAGAAATCAAATAATAAATAAAAATAATAAATTAAATAAAACCTAGTTAGATTACACAAGCATAGGTTTTGTACTAAGATCATGTCATTAATTCTAGTGCTGGGGTGCAACTGATATTGCCCATAATAATTATATCACTATATATCATTCTTGTTCCATATAATCTTAACAGTGTATTATTTTAATTATTTTCACATTTCATGGGGATCAAACATATACACCATAGAAACTGATCAGTCTTCCAAATAAAAAACAAACTAATCAAAAAACCAAAACCAAACAAATCAGTCATTTAGCATTAACATACAGCATTCATTCTTTGTTAAGGAAACTTCTCCCCTATAACTCATAGCTGAATGATACTGTGTAAGAATTTTAAATGAATGTGGACATCCTTGTTTCAAACTAAGCATGTGCAACTTACACTTGATACTTAAGTGAGGCACTTGGGCAAGGTTTAGGCCAAAGGAGACCAGGAAAGGTGAATGACCCGACAGCTACATCAGTGCAGAATATATATTTTGCTCCCTATGATATCCAAAGCAGTTTAAGCATGTCACCCCATCATAGTCTTCCAAATAAATTCAGTGCACTCTAAATACAATACAATTTCTTTGTTGGGATGACTGATATATATAAAGCCATGGTTTGATGTTCTTCTCTATTTGCTGAACACTGTTATGAAGAATGATCCAGAGATGCTAAAATGGCCTGCAATCCTGCAGACAGGAAGAGACGAGTACCCTCCTTATTCTACATACACAAGCCAACCAGACTGGAAATTTAATCTTACTTCAACATTGGTGAGAGAACAGCATCTTTTACTGAACCCGAAGGCAACAGACTAACTTAGGAGGTATAGAGCAGCGTATATGGGATGAACAACTTTGTTCTGCAATAGGCCTCCACATCCCTCTCAGCATCTGCCATATGAAGTATCTGCCTAATGGCAGGACTGGTGTTGCCAATTCCATACTTAAGGAATATATAGCGTGATTACATACACATTGACTGAGAGGTCCTACAAAGCCTATTCCCAGGTATTGTACCTAAACCTATTCAAAGGCTCCTAACAGCAGTATTATCTATTTCATTAATTAAAATATTTCTATCATGGCACTTAGTAAAGAGCTTTGGGGCAACAATGAATTTAAAATAGTAAACAGAATAACATAACAAAATTAAAACAATTTAAAAACAGACTAAAAGCCAAACACAAAAAAGAAATTTAACTAGCAACAGCCATAAATCAGATTCTGTTAAATGCAAAACGAAGTACAAAGTTCAACTGTTGCCTAAAAGCAATGAGGAAAGGCACTAGATGGGTTAGAAAATGTTACTGTTTCCAAGGGGGAAGTGCTACAGCTGAATAAATTGCTCCATGTTAATACTCTACACCTCTCAGATGGAAGGGCTATGCTAAACAAGGTTTGCAAATATGTTGTTGTTTGCAGTAGGGGATATTATATCAGGAGTGGGCAGATTAGGAAGAGTAAGATGTAAATGTCAGATATTTCAGAGCCACAAGACCTGAACAAATATTTTTTTTTTATTTATGAATGACCAGACAAACATTGCCACAATTTTCAGGCTAGTTACTGCTAGTAGAGGTCTTGTAAGTCTCCATCTCGGCTGTGAGTACTTGAAAATCCAGCTAATACATTGTCAAGGCTCTACGAATTAGCTCTGTTGATTTGTAAGGATCACACAATGCTTCGACCACACAAACTTCATTACAGAGTACAGTAATTCACAGCAGTATGTTGTGCTAAAAATTTAGGTGAGTTGCACATTTTTTTTAAAGTTCAAGATATTTTATTTCTGGAACTTGCTTCCAGAGCTCAATCTTGGACTGGGATT